CATCTTCCAGGAGGTATTCAGCCTCTCTCTGGATCAAGGCATACTCCCTTTTTCCTTAGGGGCCTCCATATCTTTTGTTTGTAACAAAATGAAACTGCAGCTACATACATTGATTTTTCACTAGCATCTAGGCAGGCAGAAATTTCCAAGCATGAATTTTTCTGCATCAGATCAGACGGCCACGATGCTGACACTAATAAGTGAGCAACTTCCTGTGAATATTTATTAAAAATTCCCTGTGGCCTTAATATGCTTCAATAAATTTTGCTCTTTTCCTCATAAAGTAAGCTTCCGCTTAAACAACAGGTTCCCCTGCTACTTCAATTTGCTGGAAAGCCTATAATGTTAAACTCATCAAAGTATGGCTGCTTTGTTTTTTATGCAAATTCCTGTCATCATAGTTATATAAGTGCTTATGCAATGAAAATATACATAATACACAAACCTGCCGGTGTCACTGAAAATTATTTACAAGAGCTATAAACCAAAGTTGCATCCTGTTTTGTTTTATACTTAAGGGCCTACTGCACACATGAAATGTCGCATATGCCCAAAATGTGTTTTCAGTCACTTCCCCAAAAAACAGAATTGAACCGCCTGCTGAAGGCTATTCTTTAGTCAGAGTGCATGCAAAATTGTATTAGAAGCTTTGAAGTTAAAACATGAACATTGACTACCAGAGAGGGCCCTAAAGACAAAGACATTTACTGGATGTAAATGTTCAGTGAAGACGAAGGTCACCTTATACTTTCCCGAAATCTGACCATGTTAGAAACTCCACATCCTGTTCTCAAGTTTTGCTTAAGAGCTGAAATCTTTTCATGGAAGGAATCAGCAATGAAATATTATTAACCCTGGTGACTGATTATATTGTAATGGCCAAGTTATGATAACCTCACAGGCCATGGGACTGCAGAACCTCTGCTGTTAGGACCGAGGAATCTGATTCATCACAACAGCAGAGCAGACGGGGCATGAGCAGAAGAGCTGCCTGGCAAGCCAAGCCTCCGGTTTGCAGGAAATGGGATTTTAGCTAAATTGGTGGCTTTGGTCCAAATCAATCAGGAAACAAACTCTTTTGAAAATGCCCACAAACTGAAAATTCCCAGAAAGGTCACTTCAGAAACATCAAAACACTTCCAAAACACAACTCCCAAGTTCCCAAGCCTGCGGCTGATCAGTGACAGTCTCTGGCAATAGCAGCAACATCTGCGAACACCAGCTCCACACAATAGCTGTGGGAGCTCCCAAGACCCTCTGGCTCCGGTGCAGCCTTGATGCTGAGGACTACCCCAGGAAGCCTGTCCAAAGTCACAGCTCCATGTCAGGGAGTGCAGGAGCTCCGGCAGTCCTGATTCAGCCAAGCCTCTTAGTGCTTCCAGACGTGGAAATCAAAGTGGAGTTCAAGCTCCCAGGATTTTCTTGCTTTTAGCTTTACAGCAGGTTGGAAGTGGTAGACCGAGACCACAAGCTGGAGTTTCAAGCCCCCAAGCCCTGGGCAGTCCTCAGTGCCATTGGACAGACTACTCCAAGACAGAGGAGGCTGCGTTTTCCGGGCTGACCTGCCAAGAAGTGCTCCAGGAACCAGGGGAGCTCAGTTTGGCAAGAACTCACTGAATGGGATAACTCCAATCAAAACATTTCAGGCCCAGTGGATGTGCTATTTCCAGCTAAACTTTGTTTTACCAATAAATCTCTAACTAGCATGGAATAGCAATGTAAAAACCAAAGGCCTTACTCTCCATTGCTTTGCTTACCTTCATATAGAGTCATTTGTATTTATGAAAACACAGTACAAAAGAACACTTCTTCAGACCAACTTTAAGATCTTGAGACAAGTGGCTGACACTATTATTTATGGATAACAAGAATCCAGCAGCAATGCCTTCAGTTACTCTGTGTGTCCTGGCTACTCCCTCCCACCTCTATACCACAAGGTACCCCCTCAGATCTCTTGGCAACTGTTCATAGGGTCGAGATGAAAAATTTTCAAACTTTTAGAATAAGCTAGAGTCTTTGTTTTCTGTAGAAAGGTAAATCATGTACTGAGAACAAGGCAAAGCAAAGACAAAGCATGACCTCTGTATTTGCACATCTGCTGCGGTTCACACTCCAAGTGAGATTTGTTATTAAAAACTTCAGGTAACTGATACGCATTTTGAAGAATGTGAAAGAACAACACTGCTTCCCAGGAACCACAGCAGGACGGTATGACACTTGCTTTTGGTTCTGCAGTGATGATTAAGGACTTCACAGGAGGATCAGTTGTTTTCTGAGGCTCAAGTATATGATCTAGTGCCCTGAGGTTCTCTTATTTATTTCAGACTCATTTAACAAAGAGGGTTTAAATAAAGTTTTTCCTGTATAAACCAACCCTTTTTTTTCCTTATTGAAGGTGTTACTTACTTGGATCATATAAGCGTATTTTAATGCAACACAACAATTACTTTCTCTTCTGCAGTTTACACTTAAATGGTCATAGGAAGAAAAAAAAAGAATGCATTACTACAGGGGTCTGAGCTGATGGTGATGGTGTACGTGTCAGCTGCTCTGGTTTGTATATCTTGAGTTAGGTTTTTCTCCAGACTCTTTTTTCAGCAGCTCAACTGCTCTGACTACCCTTGTTCACAACAGTACCTTTGAAATCTGGTCCCTACATTAACAAACTAGACTTCATCACCCAAAGAGTTAGAAATTGTACCTAAATCGGCGTATATCTTTTTGCCCCACCGCATTAGCTGTTATGGCCCAAAGTGATTTGAAATGTAAGATCCCTTTCAAAGTACTGCCAACTGGAAGTTCTTTTCTATTACTAGATCCCAATGAATTAATTATATCAGCTGGCTCTTGCGGTTTCACACACCTTGCAGGCTGAGAAGCACTGCTGCTCACCAGCCTCCGCTCTGGACACGCGCTGCATTCTGGAGTGAGCTGGAAGTGAAGCGAAGGCATGTTGGACAAGGGCTAAGACAAATAGGCAAGAAGGCAGATTTTCTGCAATTAATAAGGAATTATTCTTTCTCTTGATTAGCAGGATGTTAACAAGTATAAAGGCATATGGCAAAGTCGATGCTGCATAGGCCCTCCCCCTCAAATCACACCTGAATGAAAACAGAGCAGCACAGCACGTAAGTCCAAGCTACTCTGTGTCCCCACAAAATCTAGGAAAGCCACTGAAGCTGGGCAATGCTGGGGCTAGACTATCACACCTCACTGGTCCCTGAACACACAAAGGGGAAGCTACCACCCCTCCATTCCCACATGTGTACCAATAAAAGATCAAATCTGTTTTCTAGGATCTGAATCTTCCCTTGCACCTTCTGGTCATTTACACATATGAAGTGGCTGCAGCATGCAGGTAAAACACTACCAGAGAGCCCTGGCAGCTACTGACAACCAACCTCTACAGACTTTTCAGATTGTAAGACGTGTATGGAGAGGGATGATCTAGGGCCATATTTATCTTTTATAATTTCTTCCTTTAGCATAGTCCCACAGATGAAGTTCTATATTTATCCAAAGAATCTTAATGAGTTGGCTGAATTTCATTCAGAGATGTAGGTTAATGCAGCTCATCTATCCTGTAAAAGTAGCAATTATGCACCTGGAAGAAAAGCTTTGTTTCCAGGGCGCCTTAAGTCTGTGCCAGTAAAGGTACCAACTACAGCCGTAGTTTACAAGAAAAGAGACATTAGAGCAACAACTCTACAATCTACAGTCCAGGATTATAAACTAAATACTCTCCATACAAGCATTTCATTGATAGAACTGTGGGAACAGGGAGATCATCTCCCTTAGTAAAAAAAAAAAAAAAAGTGTGTCTCCAAACATGTATTTTGAAAATACCAAAGAACTATGACATTCTTGCTCTGCCAGAAAAATGATCACATCTTGATTGAATACTTTACTTTCTCCCTTCCTTTTCCAAGCTGAAATGTCAACTATTTTAAGTAAAATCAAAATATTACTCAACCACAAATCAGAAAAGAACCTTGGTGTCAGAGTTGTCATCAAAAAGGCACATTCCAGTTATATACTTGCCGTTTTACTATTAAGAAAACAGAGATTAAACCCTTCCAAATGCTTTGCTGCTTAATGACACAATCACTAGCATGTTATTGAAGCTCAACACTCCGACATTCCAGTCATTATATCTGCAAACACTAAAACATTATGCAATGAGAAAACAATCCTTTTATTGAAACCAAGGACATCTAATTGTGACAGGTGAATGTTTTATCTACAGAGATGAAATCCATATACGTTCTATTTTTATGCCGTCTTCGTGCTCCATTTACACAATTTGCTAGTTTAAAAGGGTTTAACAGTCAATCAAGAGTTCAAGTATGAAACACCATAACAGAAGAAAATTATATCGTGTTATTGAAGTCAGCTAGATAAACAATACCTTCTGATTATGATGATATCATTATGTGCTTCATGATGAACAGTAAGACAGAAAACATTCACCTGGTTTCATATTCAAAACACTTGCTGAGGTTCATGTATAAATGGATGAATGAACAGAAGGGTAATTGTGTATTATTTTAATATAATAATGTCAAAATTATTCAAATCAGTAAGAAAAAAAGTGTTTCTTTATATCCTGTGTGGAGTTCTGCCTTACTGAATCTGTGTTTGTTTATGATTCTGAAAAGCTACAAAAAATAGATATAAATACAGAGTCAATGCTAAATGTGTATCTCTATTCTTTTGCAAGCAAACTGTCACAACATTAAAAAGCTTTTGAAAACTAATAACTAAGTGAAACACTAGACTTAATGACTTGAAATAAGTATCTCGCAACAGAGCTGTTTAAGCCACTGTAAAAACAAACCTCTTAAACAGTAGAAGCACATACACCAAACAAACAACCGAGAACCTGTGTTCACTGAAATCACTTGCAGTCTTGCCACTGACTTCAGTAAGAGCTAGATCAAAACAAAAAGTTTCACTACTTTTAGATTTCCTTTTGGATTGAATCTTCCTTTATTTTCTTGCTATACCCAGCCAAAGATGGACTCCTCCTAGAGAAAAAAGATGACAAAAGTGGTGCATTCCCTTTAATATAAAAAACTCAGCTATAAAGTGTGACAAATAAAGACTCTACTCAGATCCTTCAGATTTTACTTTAGACCATCACAGAAGGATTTAGCTCAACAGAAAGGCAAAATCCACCTCACAGCCTTGGCAATGCACACAGCCCTTCCTGCTGAGGACGGAGCTATACGTGACTGAAATCTCGAAAAACATTTGAGCCCAATGTCAGTAATACTGAAGTATGCAGCTGGTACTTTATTAATAACATTAAACAATATCAGTGTGTCTTTTTAATATGATTATTTTGTTTATTTTAGCATTTAAGCTTACTTTGCAATTAATGGACTACATACATACCCTGTCCAAGTAGGATGCCTCATTCTGTGAACTTTGGTTCATATCATTGCCTGTGGGAGAATATTATGTGGAGGCACATCGTCATTTTCAGTCACACTGAATCTAATCTTAATTGCAGCATTGCAAGGATTAAATAGGTAGCATTAGAATTCAAGTAGATTTTTGTTCTCTCAAGGAAACTATTTATAGAGGCAGTAAAATGCAGCATTAATTATTTAGCTTTATTAATCTAGTGAAAAAAAAGGATAAAAATGAACCCAGTTTATTCAGATTTGTTGATCCATATCTAAATGTCTGCTAGAATTATTCCATTTGCTTCTTGTTTAATGAAAAACTCAGATGAATAGGAGACTTACCTGCTTGATTTGATGTTGTGCAAAATCTGCTAATTAGAAAAAAGGTATTAGAATTGATGGTTTTCACCTAAATAGAGCTTCATAGTAGATTCTCAATTAAATCTCCTGAAAAATGAGGTACAATTACAATTAAGGATAGAGTAAGTGTTGGGGGTGGGGTTTGGTTGGTTGGATTGTTTGGGTTTTTTTAAGTCACTGGAAATTATATATAAAGATAATGCTCTCCCTCCAGATGACAAAAAGAAATGAGTATCTGAATAGGAAATGGGCCCTGTCCATAAATACAAGCTTGACAAGGCAGCACGTTGCATATCCCTAACAAACAGAAAAGCAGATTAGCAGCCATTATGTTGAGATGGTAAATCCACCTAGGAGATCTTTTGTATCAGCAGAGTTCTTGGCTTTTTTACAATAACTTGAAATTTTGGAGACAATCACATATTAAAGATTTTTTCCTTGTCTCTTGTTTTCCTTTTTCTTAAAAGCAAGCAAACAAAAACCCTGGAAGACTTTTTTTTTTCCTTCAGTGACTGCTAAGTCCTACGTATACATTAATAGCCGTGCACAAAAACTTCTGCAATGATCTAAGCTGCAGGAGAAAGTACGTGGAAGCTGCTAGATCAAAACCTTCAGATCAGGTAGAGAAGCACAGTGTTACAATGGCTTCTGCAACAGGTGTTATAGAGGAAAAAGTCCTGCGAAAGACACGCACCCCCTCCGCCAAACCTCTCCTGGCTAGCAGGAGTTCAGGAGGAGGGGTACCCATGCCCAACCCCCCTCCGCCAAACCTCTCCTGGCTAGCAGGAACGGATGAGTTCAGGAGGAAGGGTACCCGTGCCCAACCCTGTGGGATTCTTATATTTCACAGGTGCTCACTTATACAGGCATGAGTCAGATGTAGTGTTACAGTTGCAAATAATTACTCTCATTACCGCAAACAAATGAGCAATAATATGGATGAACTATGCACCATATAGAGAAGTAGACAGCATTTTAATTGATGACAGTGATAAGAGAATAAGGATTATCAGAGCCAGGAAACAGTTTCCATATGAGGAGAGATTTAGTAGACTGGAACTTCTCAGTCTGAGAGAGAGAGAACTAAATAGAAATATGACAGAGGCCAATGGAATAATGATTGGTATAAAGAATGTGAATGGCACATAATTAATACCCAGCACTTCATAATAACTGAATTAATCAGGAATTGGTTTTAAAGCAAACAGAAGTGCTTTTCCACATAATGCAGAATATTTGCAGAATAATTGCAGAATATGTTGTTGCAGCATATTGTGGAATTTCTTCTACTATTCCAGTAACATCCACTGTAGGTCACAGGGGACATCCATTGGGGTAGGCAGATTTCTGTTGTGAATGAGAATTGCACTTCTTTTGTTCTCATGAAGAAAATTTTTGAGGGAGTATTGTCTTGGCATGTGTGTGGAGATCTAATCAGTATGCAACATACAACATTTTACAAAAATAACATGCTGGCAACAGTGGACATACATTTTTGTATATACCCTAACATGCCTACATGTGGAAAACTTCCATCAACACAAATATAACTTAAGCAGAGGCACTGTGGGTGAATATGCCATTTTTTAACTTGCCTGGTAACTCTTTATGGATTACTATATTCTTTTTCCTAAAAACTCATCAGACTGTGAGGCCAGAAATTCCAATTACATTTGTAAGCATACACTGTATTATCTTAAATTGTGCAGCAACTACAATGTTTCTAATTGAAGTTGTCTCAATGCAGAGCACCAGTTTTAATTGCCAAGTCATTTTCCAGTAATGAAATAGCTGTATTCAGGGCACAGCGTAAGAACATGTTAGATGGTTATGTTAAATTGTGTTACAGCTACTTTTGGGGAGCATCTAATTTATTTATTGTCTGTATGAAACCAACCACTATTTTCCTATCTGAAAAAATAAATTATTATTCATACAAGTACTGCCTTAGACTGATCTGTGAATAATAGTTTAATTACATATTTCACTTGCAGATATTTTATGTTCATGTCTTTAATGTTAGTCTGCAGCAAACACTTCTGCCATCCTTCCTCCAAATTAATGCATGTAAGACCCTCAATGAACACAAGGGTTTTTCAAATATGTCTAGAAGTGTCTAAAATATGCAATGAATTCCATAATTTGTGAGTTGTAATACCTACTACCCAAAACAAACAGCTGAATGGACCTTAAACCTAAGATCTTAAGTCAAAGCACTTGCATTAATAATTTGTTTTCTCTAGTAAAATAAAATGTTATCAGTTCATTGCCTACCTTCTCCATTAAACTGACTGCAAGTCAAGAGTCGACTTCGGAACTTTTCATTTTCTTCAAGCATTTTTGAAATTACTTTCCAGACCTTAAGCCAAACTTTGGACTGAAAGATAAAATTGAACTATATCTCAGTGAAGCATATAAAAAGTTTGCATTAAAACACCTATAGGGCAGAACTTTGAATTCTCCAGCATGACTATGAAGTCCAACTGGGGTTTTTTTTGAGGATTGAGAAGGGGGAGATGTGGAGGAGGGATATATATGTGGGATATACTGGAAGAATCACCTGTATTTAAAAGGCAAAAATATAAATTACTCCACGATTTTCCACATGATATATCCTCTTGCCTAGAACTCCTGTTTATCCAGGACTTGTGAAGTGCCCTTCTAGATAAGAAGAGCTTATGCAAACGTGTGTAGAGCCATTAAACTCTCTTCAAAGTCATCCAAAATGGAGGGGGGGGGAGGGATAAGATTGCTTATTTTTCCAGGAGCAAAAACTTTCTCATGTAATCCCTCAACAGCAGCATAATTCAGACCCATGCTCAGATTCCAGAATAGCAACGGCCTTGCCTATTTCATATCAAATCCATATTAATCTGTTTTATAGATGTTGATGACCTTCATTTTAAAGGCATAAAGCTCCATCTATAGTGGGGACATTTCAAACTTGTGCATTGAAAATATTAAATTGGAACTGTTGACAAAGGCATTCAGAGAGAGAGAGGCAGCCTAACAAATATGAACGGCCATTAACATGCTAACGTTATGACTTTTGCTGGACCCAATCCGTGAAACTAGTTTAAATCTAAAGATAATTTCTTTCTCATGGACTTTATTGCTAAAACATAATACATATTCCTCATTCTTTTTGAGGACTATTTAATGTACTAGAAGAGCGATATTACTGTATGTTAGTTGCTGTTCCTCTGAAGTTAGTAGTGTTTGGCTGGTTTTAAATCAAGTACCTGTGACATTACTATATTATAGTCTAGCTGATTACTTGTGCTTCACACATTACAAAATCTCATAATGAGTTACTGTTTTAATAAATGTGCCTTTTAAAATTTCAAGCATTTGTTGAACTACTGAACAGGAACAGAAGTACATTTGTGAAACAGAAAGTAATTTCATATTGCTACTAGTATAGTGTTAATACCTCCGATTCTTGCCTTCGCTTATTTGTAACCTGTGGGATTTCTTTGCTTAAAACAGAAGAGGAAGAGGAGCTGCAAAGCTTTTCCCTGCCGGGTTTCATCCAGCAAGGTGTGCAGCACCTGGCCCAAATCCAGCAAAGCATTTCAGTACAGGCTTTAAGTCAACAGCATACTCTCATTTTTCAAGGTGAGCACACACTTAAGTGCTTTATTGAATGAGCGCCAGAATTTTAAGGCCTCCAGAGAGGGAAAATAATACCATTTTTCTTTTCTGTAAGTAAGGTTTTCAGTAACAGACTACCAATTCAATCTTTTAATCTCCCTCATGCTCTCACATAGACATATACAGAACAAGTAGGAAGCAATTTTCTCAAATACAAAGGCAGCTAATTCACCTCCCACATTTTATACCTTTTGCTTCTTTCGTTTAATTACTTTATCAACATTTCTTGAAGGGAAGGGAAAGTCAAAGACGTCAGCCTTATCCTCTCGAAGATCACCTAGGAAGAGAGTTTAGAAAGCATATTCCAAGTGTTTACAATATGTTCCTGAGGAAGCTGTAGATTCCCCATCTTCCAGAGGGATACTTATTTCTGGTCCCAGCAGGTTACATCACGCTGTCATCTTGCTTATTTTCTCCATTATAACCATGGGGCAAGTGGGTGTCTCACAAACTCCACAAAACAAATTTCAAAACTGCACAGCAACCAAAAATTAAGACAACAGGCTTCTGGGCAATACAACTAGCTTTTAATTCCCTCTTCTTCCCCTTGCTATGGCAGCTACTAGAATTCTAGCTGAGCTCAAAGGGGAAACGGTGACTAGACTAGGGCAAGAAACCAGACAAATCACCTCTGTTAGCACTAAAAAACAGAAGCAAGAGGGGCAGGTTGATCTTGTGGACTCAAGACGTACATGGCTGCAAGGAGAAAGGACTCGGGTGAATTTCCAGTGGGGTGAGGACAGCAGCTTTCCGAGGAGCTGCTGGACAGGCAGGGCATAGCATGAGCCAAGCAAAACGGTGACCCATATCAGGACACTGAACACGGTCGCAGCTGGGGGCTTGTCCCCTGCCGCAGCGGGGCTTCAGGCAAACCAGCCCTACCACGAGATACCCAAGGCAGCCACATCACAGGAGCAAGGCTTTGAGTTACCGATAGTCACGGGCTGCCTCCGAGCCACAGGTTGGCACCACTTAGATAATAACCTGGCAGAACTGGTGCTTTTAATTACAGACTAATGTAACATTTCACTTTTTCATCTTTAGAAAAATGGCTTTTAGGAGGAGGAAAAAAAATACAAGAAAATGAAAACATCTCAAGAGTCAAATTCAGGACCACCCTATCTGTGTCACCCATCATTTCCAGCCCACACCCCGGCTTCTTCTCCAGAAGCCAGGTCATGTTCTCCATTTTCACTCTATTTCATCCTGTGCAGCAGAGCTATGTTTCATAATGGATCACAACCAGTGGAAAACTGCCTCATCTTTTTTGTTTGCCTTTTTTAAAAAAGGCACCCACACCCATGCCCATCCCAACTTTCTTTGGTCCCAGCCACAAAGAAAGAAAATTAAGAAACATCTTCGGGCTGTCACAGCAACGAGGGAGCCAGCAGCAGAGTGGCTCTCTGGTTAGGCGGGAATCTCCTGAGAAGAGGCGGAAAGGATCCAGAAGTTTGGTGTGTAACAGAGCAGCCCTGTTGGACATAGTTTATTTTTGGCCTTATTGCTACCACAGAAAGGGACGGGGAAGGCTGCACTGCGGGCAGTCACCTCACCTTACAGGATGGAGGCACTGTAGCTCAACAGTGTAAGAGTTTGGGGCAAAAATATTAAATTTTTCACTCATGTAAGTTTAACACAATGTTCCACCTCCTGCCTAAATACCCAGTCCAACTGTACTGGGTACATTAACAAAAAAATTGTGCCGTGTTCTCCTCTCAGTGTGCACAGTCTGATTGCAAGGGAAGACCCTGGCGGGACAGTATCAACAACACACTGCAGGGAAATGGTTTCCCACCAGAAGAGAAGGACATGGCGGGGGCTCAGCCCTGTGCCCTCCCATGCCCAGGTGCACAGAGGTCTCCGGGGCTCAACAACACGTACTGTGATGGCGGCTGACAGGCTTCACCATGCCACGGCTCCCCACTGCCTGCACCCTGCCACCAGTGGCAGGGGGCCCCCAGTGGGGGGGGGCCCATGGCCGGCCTTGTCCCCTGGTGCCGGGACAGCCCTCAGCCCTCCAGCCTCCCCCGTGGGGCTTGACTGGGAAAGCGGGGGCCCAGCCCGGCCCGCCTCGGCCTGTTGACAGCCCCCACCATAGCGGATGATGGAGCCGCAGCGGTGGGAGCCAAAGCTGTTGACATAAACAAGTTGCACGCGCAGCCTGCCCTGGCTGTGGCCAGGCTCCATCTG